AGTGGCTAACTAAACCAACATGGTTTAACATTTGTAACTTCCATTAGCCCCCCGAAAGCCTAACAATGCACTGTCGCAAAATGTAACAACCTCCCTCTGTGTTTTGGAATCTGATTGCAGAACACTTTAGACCATCACACTGAGAAGACTTGTAAAGACCAGGCCACATTTACATCTCTAGATTAAATGCCACATCAGAGAACCATACATATGTCTAACTAGAAGCACTTAGAGAGCACAGACCTCCACCAAGCAGCAAATTTTACCCCATCTTGTGACTTACATCTACATTTAAAACTTGCAAATGATCTGAATCATTACCAGATTTTAATGGATCGCTCCTTGACATGAGGCACACCTATAAATGTCCTTTAAATCCATTTAGAAGTTCATACAGTAGGCAAGTCACTGTGTGAGGCAACATCCTCTGCTGCTGTTCTGCTCTCACCTTCTTCATTTACTCTGTACTCTGCTTTGTTCTTTGAGCAGCAGCTCGAAACTTTGAGTGTGACATTGCTCCCCTTTCTGGTGTTTTTGTATTTTGTCTTCAGAAAAGTACTTTCTGGCTTTTTGAGCCTGATGCTGAAGCTGTCAATAGTCACTGCTACCGCCCTCTGGTTTAGAGGGGAACTACTTGTTATGTCAAATATCCCTGTCTCAGAATCATAAAGAATACTTATATTATGATCTGCATCATCACTAAAATGTCCCTTGGCACGGGGTGCATCTCAGAAAAATATATTATAATCAGTTCAGAGCTTTTCAAGTGATCTGCAGAGGTAAGTAAGTCATATCTGTTTTGTTGCCTAACAACTTTTAGCTTAGTTAGCTCTTGTGTTTAGGGGGAGCTCAGACTGCAGTAAAGCATGCCTGCCCAGAGCATCGATGCACTCCAAGTACGAAACCCTTGGGTACCCATTTTGAAAACAAAATTCTGTTTATTGATTTTCTTTTTTATCTCTTGGGATTAGTGGGTCTGGTGTGTGGGCAGCGGTTATTAAAAATGGCAGGTTGAAAAAAACTCAAACCGTGTCAATAATCAGAGGTGTGTCAGTGATGACATGTAGTATGTATTGTTTTATAGCTTGATCTCTGAATAGGTCAAATTACTCTTGATGAGTTGAGTAACTAGAAATGTTTACTAAAGCGAGAATAGCAGTACTCTCAAAAGAACATTACTCAAGTAAAAGTAAAAAGTACTATAAAATACAAGTACTCCAGAGAGTAAATGTTTTCTTCCAAAAGTTAACAAGGTGTATATAACTAAGTAGATGTCACAACTTGCTGTTCACCTTTGTCAATAATTAATGGAAACACCTTTAATGGCATTACAACACCCGCTGTTTTTTCATTAACCATATAATTGCGCAAACTGTAATTACAAAAACAAATTAGCTAAATTGAACCACCACAATTTTGAATCAACAAAAGTTTTTCAATAAAAGTTTTTTTGGGTCGTATCAAAATTCTTATATTTCGTGAAACTGCTATGGAAAAATTATTTCTTTTGCATTACAGAAGTCATGTGATCTCCAACTGGACCTTGTCTTGCTAATGCCTCGTAAAAGACAGAAGTTCATAAGAGGCTGTTGATGGCGCCCCCTAGAGTTCTGGCTGAAATTTGGATATATCTTGTGTGTTTATATCGGCCTCTGCCATGTTGTTTTCAGAGATATTGCCTGAACAAACATATTCATGTTTAATTTAATTGGATTTCTTATTTAATGGAAATCCTGCAATTGTAAAACTAGCAAAATTAGCAGAATATCGATATAGTTTTTGTGCACATTTGCAATAGAAACGCAGCTAAAGTTGACCAAATTTTTGCCTGTTTACACAAATTCTTTAGCCAGTGTTTCTTTTTTGCAATGAGCTCCAAGACTTTGAGGTAGACATAATTTTTATACTGGCTTTATTTTCTAATAATGACTGTTTTGCTCAGTGCTATAAAGAGTCAAACCAAACCATCTCTATCAGTGGTTTTCTAACCTGATCCTACTGAACCACTGTCCTCTATGTTTTAGGTATTTCACACACCTGACTTAAATAAATGTGTGATTAAATGGTCTTGGTGCTCTTAGATTACAGGTGTTTCCTTATTGCTTTCAAAGGATGACCCCCTTCTGTCATTTAACACCAAAAAATCTCATTAATGCAAAGTGGAAAGTGTTAGATGTAATAATCAAGATTATCTGTTAATTGCCAGGCTTCAAAGGTGCTAATTGGTGAATTAGACAACCTTTGGACAGAGGTAGGCTGTATAATATACCCTATGACATGTTTTTAAAGCTGGCTCACATTTTCCTTTACTGTATCTTGTTGAAGTGTTTTCTCCCCTCAACATATCCAATTTTGGACAGGGAGATCAAAAGCTCTGTATGATAACCTTAAGATGTCTAATACAGAAAACAACCACTCCCTGTACAGTCCACTTATTTTTTCACTAGTGGTGCTTCTTTAACACATATTCTAAAAATGAAGATACAGAGATTTCTGTATCTGCTGTGAAGTTACATTTTACCCCAGCCTTTCTGCTTTATCAAAGTGGAAACTTTTGCATCTTGATGGCAAATTTCAATTCTTTCATAATTGTTTGTTTGTTCCCTCTCAGGAAAGTTTTAATTTACTCTAGTGTCCAAAGAGGTTCAATTTTAGCTGGAGAGTAAACACAGTTATGGATGACTGTTTACTGTTTGGGAATCCTTCTCTTTGCCCTTCCCTGTTCCATCTAGATACACGAAAAAAGCAGCGGTGCAGCAAGAAATTCTTTATGGTGTTTACACCCACAAATAATAAAACACAAATTGTGGAAAACCCTCAGCTCTGCACAGTTCAATTCATTCAAAGGACGCAGCCCTGAGAAACAGTGGTGAGACCACTGATTTTGTGCTGGCAAATATTTGAAGAGCTAATTTGGAAGGGCTGAGTTTGCTGATGCTCATATGTGAGGTAGTTTTCATGTGTGTCATGCATATAGCCAGAAAACAGGAGCTAACAGTTATTGCAATAAATACATTCATTGCATATTTCCATATCCTCTAAACATTTTCACATTTTGACATGAACTAGTTACAAACATTGTTGTATTTTATTCCAATTATATGCAATAAAAATCTACTATTGTAAATAGGCAGGATTTACAGTATGTTTTTCTTAATGTTTAACAAAAACACTGGACTGCTTAGCAATTAAACTAACCTTTTTGTTTTAATAACTCTGTAACACAATAATATATATATTTTTACATGTTTTTCCCCAACTTGATAAAAGTCAGTCAGATTGAATGAGAACATCTGGGGAAAAATGAAATGTCAGATTTAGAAAGAGATTTTCAATTGAATTTAGGTCTAAATTTTTGCCCGATCATTCTAACTCATGAATATACGGTGATCTAAACTATGACACTGAAGATCTGACTTCAGGATAAGGGACAAGTGAGAATATTTGCAAACTAGTCTCTTCTGCAGTCTATTACACACTGAAAAAAATAAGGCAACCGCTTTTGGCATTTACTTAATCATATTTAGTTACTGTAACACAATTGTTTTATGTCCAACTCTGCCAACATGAATATGTTGAGTAGCTAAATATGAAAAGTCAAAAACGCTTGCATTTTTTTTTTCCTCTAGATTACCTTGCATTTAGTCTACTCCATCTGTTCTACAATTATGATTTGCTCACGTGTTGAAATAAAGTTTCCTTGCAGTCTAATGCTGCCACTACCGTGTTTAAACATGGGTAAGGTGTGTCTATTGGAATGTTCAGTGTTGTATCTTAAACCAGGGTTTTATTACCCCTTGTTAACAGGCTTGCTGTGTTTCCCTGCCTCCTCACATCTGACCTAAATGAAAAGGCGATCCATGGGATTTTGCAGCATTTGATGGCTGCTCAGGAGGCCATGCAATCATTTGGATCAGGTGTGCTTGAGTGGAGAGAGACATGTCTAAAACATGGACAATGGGAGCTGAAGATCAGGCTAAAGAAACTCTGTCCTAACGCACACAGGGTATGATAAGTAAGCCAGGTTTCATCGAACCAGCTGACATGATGAACACTGTATTTTTTTTTTCATGGCTCAAATTTGGGATTGGTAATTTATCCTCATATGCTGTCACTGCTCTAGGGAAATCATTCAGGCATTCAGTCAACTAGTAGTTAAATGTTTAAAGTATCTACCTCTCTTTTGCTAAACAGCCAGACGGCCAATTGCCTCCTTGATCACATGAGATGACAGCCTCTCCGTTCTGCAAAATTGATCAGATTGATTGATTTTGTTGTTTATCTCTAAAACTTTCAATCAAACGGTCAAGGACAAAGACAGAAAAGGTACGGTGAGACACCCTTATGCTGTGTTACTTCCAGCAGATGAGGACCGGACTCTCCAGTGCGCCCTGTGCCCAAGAGGGGCGGGTTTGGGTGGCAGAGCGCAGGGACAGAGAGCGCAGAAGGAGTGAGGAAGAGGAGGAGGAGGGGAGGGCAGGACTGGCAGGGTGCGGTCTGAAGTGGCAACAGATCACCGTGAATCGCCCAATTCCCTTCAAATCAACTGGAAAGCTACAGATTGTCGCATCTGGGGAAGTCCAGAGGAGGGCAACGAGTGAAACGAGCGCGCAAAGGGCTTGTGCGCAAGAGAGAGGGGGGCAGAGAAACCACAACACTGCAACTTGGATGTCAGCGGCCGCACTCTCTCTCTTTGACTCTCACACCCACCAAATCGACTTTGAACCTGTTTGTTTAAATACACGGACTTTACAGCCACTTATTGCTGACTCCAGTCAGGCGGTTCAGAGCGGAGTTCCTCTCATCTGTAGGCATAAAAAAAAGCTTTTTTGGTATTCCAATGGTGCCTCATGAAGACACGGGGTTGACCTTATTTCATCCAATATTTACGGGTGCGTCGCTTTATTTTTCACGGTAAAATGGGAACTAAATTGGAGAGGCACTGAAGACATCTCTCTCTCTCTCCCCCCGGGAGAGTCCTCCCACCTTTCCCCGGGGCGATGCGGATCTCCTTCCTCCTTCTCGCAGCCTCTCTGTGCGCCTCTGTCCTCCTCCTCGCACCTGTCTCGGAGGGCTGCGGGCCGGGGAGAGGATACGGCAAGAGGCGGCTCCCCAAGAAGCTCATCCCGCTCGCCTACAAGCAATTCAGCCCGAACGTGGCCGAGAAGACTTTGGGAGCAAGCGGGCGACCCGAGGGAAAAATTACCCGCAACTCCGAGCGCTTCAAGGAGCTCACCCCGAACTATAACACTGATATAATCTTTAAAGATGAGGAGGACACCGGTGCAGACAGACTCATGACTCAGGTAAAGCGGAGGATATGCGTAAAAGGGCCTTATCATGCGTAAAGTGATAAGCATGTCATTTTCTAGATCATATTGTTTATCTGGGGGATCAAATTACACTGAGCTGAATGAACCAGATTAACCATAGTGCTGGTCTCAATTGTCATCTGAATGTTTGCTGTCAGTTAAATGTTTAAACCAAAGTGATTGATTCCATTAACCCTTCCTTTCACCTCTGGAATCTGCTACCTTACATACTTAACTGCTGAGGCTTCCTTGAAGTGTTGCCTTCATTGACCCCAATCTGGCAATAATTTTCCATTTGACTGAGCCTAAGTGAACCATTAGGAAGCATTCCTATCTCACTTCAAGTTATGCGTATTTTGCCTATTGCATATCTAGTTCTGTCCAGGTTTTATTCCTTCACCTTCAGCTGTGGTTATTTTACGTAATAAATGACCACACATATTTGCAAATCATTAAAATGCATGTCCACTCCTTGACTTTCAGCCTGGTTTGTGTTTTCAAAAAGAATAAATCTCAAGCAAACACCACGATCACAGTTGTGTGTACTTTGACCATTCACCTGACACAGTTGGGACTTTGAGCAATTATTTAGAGCTCAATGTTGACATGCTGTTATTAAACCCTCAACTTTTTGGTTTCTAAGCAGAACCCTTTTCTTTTTGGTGATTTTTCAGCTTTTTTCATATTATTTGAAAATTATATTTTATATGGACTGACTGGTATTGCTTAATAGTAGACAAACTAAACTTATTGCCTATTTTTTCGCAAAACAAATGCTCTGACTTTTTATGTATAATCCCTCTTTTCTGGACCAAGACATTCAAAGAGATGATACTTCTGTTATGTAAATAATAATGTAAAACACAGAACCTGTGCATCTTGTTTGTTTTGTTTTTGAATTTGTCAAATGGATCTGTTTTCATAATTTACAACTATTTTTTGGCGTTTGCCCACTCATGGTGAGCAAGGCTGTGCTAGAGAGTTTCAGAAATTCTTTTTTGCCCCACTGTCCCTTTGTGCTTGGTCTTAATGAGGGATAGCTGCAAACTCAATGACTCCGTGCAGTAGATAACATGTTATCAGTTGTCACTTTAAACTAAACTTGTAATATTGCTCCTGCCAAATCTGTTTCTCCTTCAGGCTTGTTCCTGTGAAAGAGAATTGTTCTGTTCTGACATTTTCAGCAAAATAACTGAAAGAAAAATAATATGAATCCGTAGAGAGAAAACTGGCAATAAAAACACCATTACACTTCAGCTTAAAGTCTGAGAATTTCCAAAACCAGAAACTGTTTAACATTGCCAGAGACGGACTCAAAACCAAAACCAGGGATGTAAGACCATACTTAGCTGTGTACACTATAAACACCACCCTATTTTTTCAATTGACATTTACTCAGAGCAATGTTTTTTTAATTCATGTCTTAGATAAGATTATTTTCACCAGCTTGTAAGTGAATTTTACTACCATTTTATCTATAATTTCATAGTTTAATTTCTCTTTTATTTTCAGTATATTTACTGGTTCTACATTAATTTAACTTTCTTTACAAGCCCTTTGATCAATAAGTAAACTTTCATTTATTAATTAAATTCCACTGCTATGTATTATACTTATAATCAAATATTAATGAATCTACCTCAGTGCTTCCCAACTCTGGTTCTTCTGTCCTTCATCTTTTATATGTAGTTTTACTGCCCCACACCTGACTTGCATAAATGAGTGATTAACAAACATTTGCAGCACTTGATGTCAGGAGAAGAGGTCGTGAAATTTTTTAAATCAGGTGTGCTTTAACAGAGACACAGAACATGCAGGATAGGGGCACTTCATTGAATCTAAACTTTTCTCTATAACTAGATTGTTTTGGACACATTTGTATAATTTTACAAGTATATCATTTTGGTTGATATATGTCTGGCTAATTTGTTAAACATAACTTTTGACCCAAGTGTTGGCTCATGTTTGGATCTATTAAATTACTTTGTTAGGTCGTTATACAGCATTTTGTGCATAGCAGTGTGCCAAGTATTGGCCATTGGGTTCTCCTTAAATACTAGAGCTAACTAAGCTAAAAGTAGTTCGCAGTAGAATAGATATGACACCTTATTAGACATACTTTTGGTTGTCTGATGAAGGATTCACTCTAGAGGGGTGAATATTGGTTTGTCTGAACAAGTAAATACATCACTTCTCATTTTGCTGTTTGTCTATCAGATTCCAAATCACAGACGGAGGCTATTTAATTTTGCGACAGTGCAGCATCACATTCAGGGGGACTAAACTTTGCCGTTAAAGCCTAGCACCTCCAGTGGCTAAAAGTTGAAAAGCGTTGCATTAACTTTCTTAGAAATGTGCTATGTGAAAGCAGTGAACCAAATTGCAGATAAACTAGCTTATTTACTGATTTTATACAGTATCTTCCTTTTTCTTTGTCTCACCCAGCGGTGTAAAGACAAGCTAAACTCTTTGGCCATCTCTGTGATGAACATGTGGCCAGGTGTGAAGCTCAGAGTAACAGAGGGATGGGATGAGGATGGCCATCACTCAACAGACTCTCTACACTATGAGGGGCGTGCAGTGGATATCACCACCTCAGATAGGTAAGAGCACCTAAAATTATACACTGTGTGATTCTAAATTAGTAGTGATCTATTAACCATATCACTATACTGAGGACTTTAGCAAACCTTCTTAACCTGCTTAACTGGACATCTCAATTCCTTTCTTGACATTTATTTGTTGTTGTATTTTTATTCGGTTTCAGTAATCCATTGTTTTCCTGACAGGGACAGAAATAAGTACGCCATGTTGGCCCGCTTGGCTGTAGAGGCAGGATTTGACTGGGTCTATTACGAGTCCAAAGCCCACATTCACTGTAGCGTCAAGTCAGGTAAGACCAGTTTAAGAAATCTTTATATTTGAATATGTCCTCCTCTGTTGTGATCACAGCTAAAGCTAGATACCTTGTGGGGTGACTGTCTTCTTATGTAGTATCCCTTTGAGCCCCTGTGTTATCACTTTGTGAGGGTGTTTGTGTGTGTAGGCCTACTGGGAACCAATCAAACATAATGTGCACCTGTGGTCTTTTTTTTATGCACCCTGATTTTATCTTCAGGTCTCATCATAGATTTAGTTTGTCAGATTATATGGAGCACCTATCCTAAATACAAATCCTTCCTTATTGTATGGCTCAAGTATTCATACAGTGTGTGGCAAAATATTTCTGCCCTTTAACCTTAACACTAGAAGTCTATATGATGTATATATATTTATTTTCATGAACATTTGCTCTGAAGCATTTGCTCTGAAACACCTTAATTCCTGTGCAAAAATGCTTCAAAGTCACTTCATCACCATTCACACCATGAAAGAATTAGAGGAAATATAGGAAAAGGTTCCTTAGTTACATGAGCCTATATACATTTTTTTTTGCCTATATGGAAGATCTCTCTAATGCCAGTTTCTCAAAATGTTGGTAGTATCACGATGTGTGATTTCCTTTTTCAATGGGGTCTTTAGAACTGGCTAGAATTGAAGGTAGAGTGTATAGAGTTACTGTACGTCCAGGGCAACTTCAAGGTAGAAAATATGTTAGAGGCTGCAGGCTTGAGACTGGATAAATGCATCACCTTCACCTGATGACTTCAAGCTGATTTCAAGTCCTGAAGTTCTACTATCCTGCAACATTTAGGTGGATCCCTTTTCCACACACATTAATTAAATGAATAGTTTGTAGGCCTCTGCAAAGCTAAATGGTATGCTGAAGAGGGAATTTAGCCATATTATTCAGGTGTGCTGAAGAATGGATATATCCAAAAGATGCAGAATAACTGTCGTTGAGAACTGAATAACACTGTCAAGGACCAGAGCTAAATTCAATTTAAGTTCCAAGATCTCAACTTCTGTGTTTTCAATTCACTCTGACTGAACTTTAGCTGTTTTACAATAAAAAGTGTAGAGAAAGGACCTAATTTAAACAAAAAGAACTCAAACAACTTCCATTTGTAAAAGCAGTGAAAGATTTTCATCACTGGGACCTAATAATACAAACTCACAGCACACCGTTAAGATCTTTCTATGTAAAAAATAAAGTATAAACTTCCTTTTTCTTCACCGGTGATTTTTGTTAGTATGTGAGATACAGTCCTGAAAAAGGAATTTTAAAGATAGTGGTTGTCACGAGACAACAAAACTGAAAAGGTCAAGGGGCATCAATATTTTTGCAAATAATAATAATATTAATAATAATAAATTTTATTTAAAAAGGCGCCTTTCTGGACACTCAAGTTCACCGTACAAAAGCATAAGAGCAAAAGCAAAAGTACAAAAGAATATATGTGCATCTTGTGCCAATTTGAAGTAAAATCTAGATTCCCAGATAGTGTTTTTGTTACAGTTTATTTACTTTTGCCATACAATTTACAAATCTCATCATGGATGACTTAAGAGTTTATGTCTTTCTACAAACAATGAGTGTCAGCATTCCACTTCCTCTTAATCAAACTTTTGAGACATTTTAGAAACCCATATACTGACGTCTGGTACCACCAGTTATTTAGTGCCAATCCACACTCTAGCAGTCCACCTAGGTTAGTAGGCTGTGAGATGATTAACTCTCTCTTTGTTTTTGCCGTTGCTTTGCCTCCAGTGAGTTTCTTTCAGATCTCTTATCTGAATCTTATCACAGTCCTCCTTTTTGTGCAGCTTTCAAGCTTACAGACCCACACACACACCTTGGACAAATATTTGGCTGACTTAGGACAGCCTTAAGACAAGCCTCCCACACACACATACAGACCCCCCCAAACACCCACACACACACCACACATACACACACACACACACACACACACACACACACACACACACACACACACACACACACACACACACACACACACACACACACACACATGTATACACACACACACACGCACACAGAAACACACATATCAAGTCTTTGTATTCCAAAAGGAGCAGTGGGTCCTCTTAGAAATTGGCCTGACACTGTTAGAGCACACATACACACATACAAGCACAATATTGTATACACATTTATACTTTGTTGATTTCTTATTTCAATCTGATTCAACAGTATTTTTTAGCTAATGAGAAGCAAGATTTATGATTTCATTTGGTTTAAATCTCTGCAATCCAAACAGTATCTAAAACCACGTCTGAGTCTGTGTACCTTCCTGCCTCCCTGACCTCGGTCTGTGCTCTAACTGCAGTGATACAATCAGCTGGTTATCCATTAGCTCTTGCCGACTGCGCTTTCTTGCCACCTCATCTCACTGCATCCTAAAGGGAACATTAATCCAGGCAGAGTTAACCAGGGTATATTGTGCAGGCCGTGATGATTATGGCCAAACAGAATCCAAACAAATAGCAAAATAACTGTATTTATTTACTAATATAACTGGCATAGACATGATGCTAAAATTTTTAACTTGATATCTATACCCAGGAAATTATTTGATGCTTGGTAATTCAGAATCAGAATCAGAAATACTTTAATAATCCCAGAGGGAAATTACTTTTGTTACACGCCCATTATTAGACAGGAAAAAGAAAAAAAATTTAAGGCATAAAAAATATTTTATAAAACAGAAGGAAACACATTTTAAAATCTCAACATGGAACTTGCCTTCTCAGAAGAATCACCAATGCTGGTTAAATGGGTATGCAAATAAAGACAAATACAATGAAAATGTCAATATTTCAAATGTCTAAGGGTACTGTATATTAGTTTAATGTACATATAAAATCTAAGAAATCTAGAATTCACAATTTGTAATGCTAGATTATTATTCCATATGGATGCAACATCTGAGTATCAATACTCTTTGGAGTATCTCTACTTTTGAAAACCCTAAATACAACTGAAACCAGATAATTATATAATTAGCAATATTATAAAAAGTTGCTTTTTTTTTCATTTCATCATTATTGCATATTCTGGCTCAGTGAGTTAGGATTAACAGAATTGTTTCAAATCTTCTGAGTCCCAAAATTAACAGCAAATAACTTAAGATGACGTTTTATTCCCTATATAGTTATACAGTTTTTCTATATTAACTAATTTTCCATTCTGAAAAAATGGGAGAAGCTTGCAAACTGGAGAACACCTCACCATTTAAGAAGTATGGAGGTGGAAAAATGGCCTGTGACAGCAAAAGACGTGAATGAGTAAAGACTGTAATTTAATTTAATTGAATTCAGTTTATTTATATAGCGCCAATTCACAACACATATGATCTCAAGGCACTTTATAGAGACAATTCAAACAGATCATTCAGTCAGATTGGTTCATAATTTTCTATCTAAGGAAAACCAGTTGATTGCATCGACTCACTGACTCGAAAGAAATCCCTCACACCAAGCATGCATGTAGTGACAGTGGAGAGGAAAACTCCTTTTGAACAGGAAGAAATCTCCAGCAGAATCAGGCTCAGTGTGAGCGGCCATCTGCCAAGGCTGACTGGGGTTCAAGGAGACAGAAGCAGAGATACAGAAAAAAGCAGATATACAAAAGGTAATTGTCAACCAGCTCCACAGACAGGCCCTGTCCAGGAAACACACAGCCAGGCAGAAAAGCTCTGAGCCAGCTCCTATTTCAGAGGATGAAAGAGAGCGCATACAGTTAGTCACAGTCAGAGAAAACAGGCTAAGTATCAACAACTATAAACAAAGTCGTTGATGGCAGCAGCATAGCTGACATTTTCCTGTGAGATGGTGTCACAGCCAAACAGGAACAGAACAGATGAAGCTACTTTACTGACTATGTAAATATTGAAAATAGTCAAAGCTTGGGCTAAACGTAAGACGTTCAATGGACAATGACCCTAATCATAGTAATAAATGTGTTTTAAAGTGGCCTAATGATAACAGAGTTAGTGTTTTGGAGTGGTCGTCACAGCAATGATCCTAAGCCAATGATTACATGAGTTGGCAGATGTGTAAAGGTTTTACGGCCAGTAGAATGAAGGGGTCACTCTAGTGACTGGAAGTTTGAGGGGATTTTGCTGGGAGTTGCAGGGAAGTGAGCTGCCAGCGTTTGACTGGGAAGGGCCATTTTAATGGCTGCTACACTATGAGCAAAGCCAAAAAAACAAATTGTAGTCAGCTTTTGAAAAATTACGTAATAATTGGAACTAAGTAATACAGTACAGTATAAGAGACAATTCTACTAAAAAAATTCATGATTCTCAGGTGTGTTGATTTTGATTTCCAATGGTTACATTTTTAGGGTATTTTTTGAGCATTTCAGCCTCAGCTGCTCTACATTCCTTTGATTCTATTCACCTGGTTTTCATGTTACTTATTTCATCCCCTTCTGTACGCAGTACAAGTTCCTGTCTTCTGTTTCCTCTTCTTTGGAGCCTCCTGTTAATAGTTGCCTGCTCCATGTGTGTCCTTGAGTATCGATTGATCTTGAGTATTGATTATCTCCTGATAATATGTCAGCACTACTCTTGGTAATTTGGGTCCAAAACAACCTCAATTTCTTCCAATAATATGCAATTTTTTTATTGTAAATAAGGTTTTAAAAAGGCATATTGCTATTTTTCTATCATTTAGCTTATATAAATAAATTTGGTAGCACCAAAATACATAAAATAGGAAGAGTATATTATTTAAGGCCAGGAAGAGAAGAAAAAGAAATAACAGTAGTTGAAAACAGATATCCTCTCAGGGTAATAAATAAAAAAAATGTAGATTTAGTTCAATCATACAGTACACATATATTTGAATTAAAGTTTGATTCTGGTTCACAAACAATTTAGGCACGTTACGTTTTTCCTGGTGGTGTAAAAAGTTTTATCGATCTTAGAAAATGTATATAATTGTATTGGCCTCTGATACATAGTGACAGTTGTCGTTGAACAAGCAAGTAACAGTGAAATAAACTGAGTCATTTTACATTGCTGCAATACCTCATACTGAGGAAGCATGTAGCTACAGAGGAAATGAAAGTTTAAAAATGTCGAAGCTTCCATTGAGTTTAAAACTACTGTCCTTAATAGGAAGAAAAATCATGTCTCTTTTTAGTTTTATTTCACATTTATTGAAAGAATAAGCATGGAAATGTATCAGAAATCATATCCGAAGCCAAAGTGTCTTGGTCTGCCTTTCATTAATGCTTTGCAGGAAAAGCAAGCCTAATAAATGAATTAATACAGAAATGCAATTAAAAGTTAAGGTGATCAACTGCATAAAGGTTTTCAAGAATTAAGGAAAAAATATAATTATTAAGAATGCAGTTTAGTGATTTTAGTCATACTTCTGAGGTGATGAAAGATCACGGTAGAAATAAGGAGAGAAAAAAATGTTTTAATGTGACTAATGACAGATAATCTGTATATCTGGATTAACGTCTGAAGAATATTCACGAAATTGCCTGTTGGGTCCGATTAGAGTTTCAGCAAATAGCTTCTCATAGGACTGCCTCTACCTCTACGGATATGTGGCTCTCTTTTTTACTGTCTATTTGAGTAAGAAGCACATCTGGACAGCCCTGCCTTGGCTTGCCCATGGCAGACCAGTGGTGGTGGTGGTGGTTTATATTTTGCTCCAGGTTTGGAGTTCCTTCACTTTAAATTTGAAACTGTGTAATTAAGCAGACAGGGTTTGACGAAAGATACAGATTACTTTACATACTATACATCTGCAATGGGAAAAGAAATTCTGAGAAATAAAATAACAAAAAATGTAGCATACAAAAAAAAGAAGAAAAAAAGAAAACTTCCAAAGATCTAAACACTGACAAATTTGTGTTGATTGGGTTGATTTTGTTAGACTGATGTTCTTTTTTTTGTTTTTTTTTACTTCACATTCACAGAAAACACATTTTCTCATAGCCACATGTTTAGCCAACCAATTAAAGTCAAAGTATGCAGTTAATAGACTAAAAGAAAAAAAAAGCCTAAAATTAGCCAACAAGAGTTCTTCCTTTGTACCAATAAAACATTTCATTTTTAACTATAACACTGCCTTTCAAGAACAAGCATTTGAAGAACAATAGCAGTTTCAGGATCAGACTTTAAACTTGATACATAATAATCCTTATGCCTTTTTTTTATTCACTTCTCTCTTATCAAGACAGTGTGGTCTCAGGCCTTTTAAACAGTATGATACAATAATACTTAGATTGTTACAAAAATGTGACTGTTTACATGTACACTATATCTAAAAATAAATCTGCTTTGTTTCTTCTAGATTAATGATTTATCAAAATGATATAATCCTTTGTGCCATTTGGAGATAGATGAAGAGATTTTCCTTGAACATTTATTCAAAAACACAAAATGTTTAATAGAACAGTTGAGAGATTGGATTTTTTCCATTTTTACAGGCTTTGTTATCATGAATAAACCATGTTCATTTTGAAATTCATTTTAGATTAGAGTATTTGTGTTAATTTTTCACTTTTTTCAAATTTTAAAGAAAATTTAATTAGTTCCAGATGGGTACTATTTTTTATTTAATTTTTTTTTTTTTAGATATACCAAATAGGTAAGATTGGGAGCAATACTCATAAAAAATATGCGTTTTAACAAGGACATGTGTCTCTGAACTTTGTTTATGGTCATGCACTTGACTTCAAGTCACACTGAGAGAGCCCAAAGGCAGACAAAGAACAAATAGTTTCACCCTGAGTCATATTGCATAGCAATGTTAACAATCCTCCAAATGATCCAGCCAAGATAACGTTGTTCTCGAGTATGTGTCAAAGTCTCACCTTCTTTATGGATCACTCAGTGACATGAAATAACATTCAGGTGTAGCGAACAAAGTTCGAGCTTTGGAGTGAAACTGTTTGAGTTCAACTGAAATTATTTCTATTACCCATATTTTATCTCACTCCTTTCAACACCAAACTAAACCATGCAATAATGACCACAATGTCAGATTTATATGAAATAAAAAGACTGATTTGTTTTTTTGTTTTTTGTTTTCTCACCCTCAGAGCACTCCGTTGCAGCTAAAACAGGGGGTTGTTTCCCTGGCGATGCTCAGGTCATCACTGAGGGCGGACACATAAAACACATGCGTGACCTTATCCCTGGAGACCGTGTCCTGGCATCCTCCTCAACAGACGTCAAAGCTGCGCTCCTCTACAGCCCCATTGTGTCCTTTTTGGATCGCCAGCCCAATGCAACAAGGACCTTCTATGTTATCAGAACAGACGGGGGACATAACATTACTCTCACAGCTGCTCACCTGATTTTTGTCGCAGACTGTGCCCACAGATCCAACAGGTCAGGGCGAGGAGAACCGTCTGAAGAAGCCATGAGTTTTGCTTTCTTTGGGCAGAGGAGGGAAGCTGAAGCAGGTATGAGGACCATTTTTGCCAGTGAAGTCCAGCCTGGACAGTGTGTGTTTTCATCTTCTGGCAGATCAAATTCACGTCCAAAACTCTCGGTGGTGACCTTTGTCGAGGAGCTGACAAGCACTGGGTTATATGCTCCTCTTACTCAGCATGGCTCTATAGTGGTGAATGGCGTGTTAGCATCTTGCTACGCTGCTGTGGACAGTCATTATTTGTCCCACTGGGTCTTGGCTCCATTGAGACTTGTTTACTGGATGATAGGACCTTCACAAGTGCAAAATGATGGGGTGCACTGGTACCCCTTGATTCTGCAGTGGCTGGGAAAGGTGCTACTGGGCACTGAACACTTCCACCCCTTGGGCTTCTGACCAGTGACAATTAAGCGAGGAAGAAGGAGACATTTCAGGATGATGTAATCTTCAAGCAGGGGCACAATGAAGAAAAGCACAACTGTATTTATATGAAAACGGATTTAAAGCATACACATATTTTTTACTCACTCCAAATGCCTGAATTTGTTGTACTTTTACAAATCTAAATCTGTCATTGTTTTAGACATTAAGAGAGGAATGATTTCCATTGCATTGATAGCAGAAGACTGACAACAAAAGCTCTTATTCATATTAAAACCAAATTTTTCTTTCATTTTTTTATATTCTTACATTTACTGTCACCAGCTGTACTGTCTGTTTAGATTTAACCTTTATCCCCATTATGTGAGACTGGAAAGAGAATGGAAATGCATAAATATTTGATGAATAGTAAGAGGAAGATTGGAACAAGTTTATGAAGCTTTTATATGTACCGGTAAATAGATATTTATACACTTAATCCTAAATAGGAATTAATTAAAGGTTTACTTACAAAGGTTTCTTTTATCAATCGTTTTTAAATCTAGAGCTTTTGTTTTAGTTTTATCTTAAAGGTATAGTGGAGGATTTTCACAAATCTTTGAAACGACCCACCCTCTCCATCAAAAAAAATAAAATAAATGCACATGGACAACCCTGTACCTCTTGCACGCTCTATTTAAAAGTTGCAGTCTGCAGTTTTCCACTATATCAGGCTCACCACCGGTAAGTGAAATTGGGGACTAGCATGTAGGACGACCTCATGTGAACATATCACCAGAATGATTGGCAATTAGGAGAACCACTTATTTTAATGATCCACCTGGAAAAATAACATCTACTATACCTTTAAATCAAGTCAACTTAAACGTAAAACTCTTATATAGAGCAAATATGGCAGGAACTGTAGGCTTATACAAAAGCACAACACTTCTCTTTCCAAGTAAATAAAAAACAAAAAAAACTGCCCATCTTTTTACTTGTTTCCAGTCTTCCATCAGTTTAAAGAACTTTTTATCTCCTTCTTATTCACATATTTTATTTACAATCTTTTTTTATCAGGTGTTTTATAAAGAGATTTTCTTTCATTATTTGAGGGTTTTCAGGTCAGTAATATCACTCAGGCTCTACTCAACTACTGTATTAACTATCTTCTATGCATCTTTTTAAATAGTAGTAATTATTACAATAGGTGGAAAGTAAAAAGTCTGTATTTTAATAAAGGCAATATGTATATTCTTGTGCTTCATCTATTCAAAACACTCATATTGAAGCAGTACATTGTTATCATAAAAAACGTTAATTTTATTGAGAACTGTATAGAAATGTACAAATATCTAATATATATTTTTTCAGATTGCCTAAACTATTTCTGGTGTTGACATAAGAACGCTTAATGAAAACACACAATGCATTATCATGTAACTCCAAAGAAATTTTCTAAGACTTCTCAAAAATATTGTCAGATATGTATATTAAAGCTATTGGAAAACTATTTAAAGATCTATTTTTAGAAAAAGCTGTATGTATTATTATATTTGGCAAGTTTGTTAATAGTTTTGCATTTGACACATAAATGTTTTAAATAACTGATCGTGTCCAGTCTTTTTTGTTCCCTTCTTTTTTTTTTGGAATGCAAACTAAAGTAATGTGTGATTACTTTTTTTTTATTTTTGTGGTAGTTTTTACATTTATTTATTTTTTCCCTCTCCAGATGAGAAAGGCTTTTTTGGTACATATGTCATACAAGCTCAAACAATTTATATCTTTTCTTTTCCCCAAATAATGATGCATTACTGTAACCAGCACAACAAAGACAGAGCAAGGATGGCTGTGGTTGAAGGGTGGTCTGCTTGTTGGTTTCAGTACCATGGACAGCAGCATGAAGTGAAGCTACCCTTTCCTGCTTGAGATGATACAGGCTTTTGTTTTGTTTTTTCCCTCAGGATGGAAAGTTAATCTTTGAGCACAGCACACTCTGCTGGAACTACACATATTTGCAAATATTTAAAAAGTAGCAAAGTGCTATCCCCTGCAAATCTGAAATTTTCCCATCTCGTGTTACGAACACAAGCTTTGGTTTTGTTCTGAATGAATATGAATTAAATGTTATAATTAGTGTGGCATGCTATTTAAGCAGTCTTCTTTAACTTACACTAAAAAACCCTACATAAAACTTAATGCAAGTATTGGCTTTCATATTTCACCTTGATTTTATTTTATTTTTTTTAACAAAGATTTGTGAAAGCCAAAGCTTCCTGTAGAGAGGTCAGAAATTAAAGTAAAGTTAAATCTATCAGCTAAAAATTGAAAGATTGTGCTTCCAATGAAAATCTAAAAAGAGACATCTAATGACTGAAACTAATAAGCTACTCTAGACCAGGATATAAGTAGTTAGAGAAGCAACAAAATGCCTAAGACTAGGGTTGAAACAATTAATCGGATTAATCGTGATTAATTGATTATTGAAATAACCACCAACTAGTTTAGTAATCGATAAATAATTCATTGGAGTGTATGGACTCTAAAACATGCCGTTTGCTGACAGAGCAAACTACCTTGAGCAGCAGTTATACCAAGATTGTACAAAAAAAATGTGTTAACATTTAAGATAAAAATAATTCTTGTCTGTCAATATGCTCTATTCAAGTTTTTGGAAAAGTTTTATTTTCACTTTTTTAATTTCAGAAAAAGTCTTCTTTAAAGGAGAATTCCGGTTTTTTACACTTTAAGCCCATTTTCTGTAGTGTCCAGGATGAAATCGAATGATCGACACCAAAAGTTTGACAATTGCTCCTGTCTCTGCTTTTTGGCACATTTAGAATCCACCCCTGGCTGCTTCATAATGGCTGCCATAGTGCATGTCCGATAATGTTCTTAAAACAACCTTAAACTTTCTTTTTTTAAAATATGCTACTCACCGTGTCGTCAGCGCTGTTCAATGACGTTCCAAAAAAGTTTCGTGAAGAAAAAACGTTCCTGTAGTGTTTTATTTAGCATTTTGTAAATCCCATTGAGTTCTGTTGGAATAGTCAATATTCCCCTGCCACCGGAAACGGAAATGGGGCCTGTTTACACAGTTGTAGTCTTTTCGCTTCACTCTGTGTACTCCGACGTCGAGAATGAAGAATACACCTTTCGTATTCCATTTTCAGAGTTTTTTAAAGTGTTTAACAGAGACGTTAGCACCTCGACGTCGGAGTACGCAGAGTGAAGCGAAAAGACTACAACTGTGTAAACAGGCCCAATTTCCGTTTCCGGTGGCAGGGGAATATTGACTATTCCAACAGAACTCAATGGGATTTACAAAATGCTAAATAAAACACTACAGGAACGTTTTTTCTTCACGAAACTTTTTTTTTGGAACGTCATTGAACAGCGCTGACGACACGGTGAGTAGCATATTTAAAAAAAAGAATGTTTAAGGTTGTTTTAAGGACATTATCTGACATGCACTATGGCAGCCATTATGAAGCAGCCAGGGGTGGATTCTAAATGAGCCAAAAAGCAGAGACAGGAGCAATTGTCAAACTTTTGGTGTCGATCATTCGATTTCATCCTGGACACTACAGAAAATGGGCTTAAAATGTAAAAAACCGGAATTCTCCTTTAAGAAACCTTTTGCTAAATTATCAACACATGAATTGATTTGCAAAATAATCTTTAGTTTCAGCACTAGATGAGACATAAATCCAGAATTGGCCAAAATAAATATATAGAGCAGGGGGCGGCTAAAAAAATTTAAAACAAAAGTTTCTTCTCAGTTGATACCAGTGTTGTAGTTTTTGACTATAAAAATACCCTTTGTGGCAGAAAGTTACCACTGTATCACGCCAAATTAATTTATTCCTACAGTAAAACATGATGAGGGTGAATTAAATGGAAGAAAATGCAGGTTAAAAGCCTGTTTGAGGCTAGAAAATACTTGACAACAGAGCTCAACATCACCTTCAAGCACAACAACGGCCCTAAACCTACAGTATAACCAGAACTGCAGTGGAACAGTTTCAAAGAGAGGATATTTTGTGGTTAGAGGGACTCAGCCATTGTCCAGTCAAAAGTCCAGTTATGAATCTGTGGTAGGACATAAAAAAACCTCTTCTATCTTACTAAGAAACTGGACAAAAGATTTACCGCAAATTGCAGTTGTAACTGTACAAACTTATGGTTTTAAAATCCATTGGATTGTGAAAAATAGGGAGATTAGTTTTCATTGGTGTATCGACCCATGAGGTAATTGTTCGTGTTTTAAACGTGGAAGAAACCATATCCTGAAATTTTTGTTTCTTTGACATTAAATTTGTGATTTTTAGGGACAATGAAAAAATAAAACAATAAGCCAGTGACACTGCAATGCACTTAGGATGCTGTATTTCACATCAAACTAAAAAGTGTACCACTGATAGCCACCATCTAAAGAATTAATTGGCAGTTGCAATGAAGAAAAGTGGCTGTAGCTACTTAAATTTCAAATTCCTGCAATCAAAGAAAGATAAATTATTTAAAATGGCGACTTTACGAACAAACAGTTTAATTTGATGGCAGCAGATACATCTATGAGTGTACAGAAAAGTTAGCTTTGTAAGCTTTTATATGTCAAGGTATCTGGCAACCCAGTCACCAGATACTCCGACATATATTCCACACAGCTTACTTTTTTCCTTCACTGAATAATCCAGATATCAGTGGGAGAAATCAGTGATCCAATTAGTCAGATAACAAATTTGGAAAGTTGGCAATTATGGGTATTGTCTCAGAGGTGCTGTCTACATAGGCAAATTAAAAGAAAAAAGAAAACATGTGATGAACCTTGCACTTCTAAATGATGCACTAGAGTATTAGTGTTTAAAAAGTTCTCATTTCCATGATGGGTCCTTGACTGAAACTTTAATGGCTGACTTTTATGCTTTGCTGAATTCGGCTGGTTTTTAACCTAAAGGGGAACTTTTAAACCGCTATGACAGGATCTTGAGCTGATCTGCCATATGCAAAGAATTTTAAGGTTTATAGCTTTATAAATTGTGAAAAAGTTCAAGAAGGGTTGATATGTTTGTAAGGTATAACGGCGCAAGTAATCAGTTAGTTTAAAACATGGTTAATTAAAAAAAGTAACAGAAAAGAATACATGTTGTTCTAGGCATGGCCGCATTCAGGACAAAGGAAACTAAAAACAGTAAAGCAGATTCTAAGTCATCTTTATTACTACTGGTCATTAAGGAACAGGAAAAAAAAACTTTTTCTCATATCCCAGATATCACCATTAGAGGCTGATCCATACAGCTGGAGACAGAACCAGACCCAGGTTAAACACTCCAATCCATACACAAAATTTTCAAACAAAATATGATTATCTACCCAAATATGTAAGTGACTTTTCTCTTATGCATTTTTTTTCATATACACCCTGGAAAAATAATGCACATCCACAGTGGCTAAAATACTGAAAAGTATATAGATATATATATAAAAAAAAGAATAATCTGTGCACCTGAGTCTGGTTGCATTAACTTTCCCTCTATGAGTCCTGCCTCCCCTGCAATTCACTTGGTTTTGGACCACGATACGTAGAAACATTTTGAGGCACGGCAGATGGAAAAGGACAAACTTATGAGAAAAAAATTGAAATAAAAACCCATGTAATGCCCATACCGTCTCTCTCACCAAGAGTAGTCATAAAAAAACAACAACAAATAAAAAATAAAAAGAAGACATATCTTGTCGCAACTGCCTCAAAAGTGACTCAAGTATCACTGCCTTAAATTAAGGGTGTCCACACAACAACACATGGAAAGTCAGCATGCTCACAGTTACTCACATACAGATATGAATGTCTTCTTAGAATATGTATCTGTCATCACAGCTTGGAAAAAAATTACACTTATAAACAACAAATGCACTGTAACACCTGGAACCATAATACCAGCCAGTGGAAAAAGATTCAATATGTTTGCCTCG